ATCACCATCAGAAACCAGTAGAGCAGGTGTACTCGATCTCCTTCCCTGTGTTGTACCATAGATACCTACTCCCCTCGATCCGCCTACCTTTGGCAGGGGGGAACAAGAAAGGACAAGAAATATCTCCCGTACTTAAACCTCCACCGTTCGTGCGTGAGGAGTTGGATTTGTGGTCATGATCAATCACTCGTGAAATAGGGTGGAAGGGGGTTGGATTGGATTGGGGTTATTGGGGATCTGCAGGAATATCGATGATTAGTGTATGTGGTATGTATGCGTGTATATATGTATGTGCGTGTGCGTGTATATATGTGTGTGTATGCATGGGTGGAGGAGGTACTGTCGTGGCGGAAAATGGGCGAGTTGTTGGTAGGGGTTGTCGGTGAAGGGGCGAGCTGCCATAGGGTTGACGATGGTGATCCGTTCTATGTTGTTGTATGAGAGTGTATGTACGCGCTGCTTCAGGTTCAACTGGAGTGAACCGTATTGTAATTGCTACTCGTTGGGCGAGCGTCGGGTTTGTCTATCTTGTCGTATATCGATTAGTCGGTCTGAGTAGCCGAGGGAGCAATGATGCCCATACATACGCGACTCCTGTATGATACAAAGTGAAGATTTCCCTTTGTCCCCTTCCTTTCCCTTTCCCTTTTCTTTTTCTACTCACATTTCTCCAAATTCCCCCTGCCCCTTCCTATCCATCCACCTATCCGTCCACCATCCGAGAATGGCCAGATGACCTATTCTCTGGGCTCCCCTCGCTCACATCTCGTAATCAATCCTGAAATCAGTTCGCTTCCGGCGGCAACGTCGTTTGCTATGCTCAACTCAGAATTAATCAATGTATGGAATCAATCAAGGGGATAAAAAGAGCTCATACAGCAAAAAAAAAACCTAGATATCTATACACCCCCTCCTTCCAAATGCTGACCGACTATCACATACATGCGGCAGTTTGGACACGAGCCAATTGGATAAGTAGCTTTGTTCGGAGATCAACTGGCTGTGCCGGAGGGATGGGAAGTTGATTGCCCAGTTGGGTTTTTGACATATTGTGCCGATAATTACGTGCTGCTGGGTGAGTGGGGATAGGTAAATACGAGTGATATATTGTGCGTATGCGTTTCGGGGGTGGGTGCTGCACTAAGAGAATGAAAGAAATAGAGTGCGTTCCATGCGATGTTTTGGAGTAATTGATGTCTTGAGTAGATAAGCTAATTCGGGAGATATCGCAGGTACTTAGATGGATAGCTAGCTAGCTGGCTAGCTACATTGGAGGGATGGGTGGGTGGATGGATAGGGTATTTCAGTGCCTGATGGATGTTTTTGCTTTCGTTGAAACAATGCTGGCGATGGTGATGGTGATAGCGATGATTGTGATTGCGATGATGGTGAGGCTTGCTGGCTGGTGTTGTTATTTTTTGATATTGGGTGGGAAGGGTTTGCTTTCCAATGCTCCCGCCTTTGCTTCTGCGTTTTTCATGATTCTGATTCTGGCTGCCTAAGTTGTGCTGGGCTGTACTGTACCATGGTTTGGTTTATCCGCACCCCTACGCTGTAAGTAAGTAGGTACTGTACGATGGATTTCGGCCTAGCACTGCATATAGCTTAATTGCGTTCTTAAAAACTAGAACCTTCGGATCTGCCAACGTGTAAGCTCTTCTCTCTTTTTCCTTGTTTGTTGGGTTCCTTGATTGCGAGGCTTGCTTCGGGGTTGCCTTTCTTTCTTCTTTTACTCATCTGCGTGGTAAATCGTCGCCCGAGCACGTCTAGCCAAGATATCAATCCTCAAAGTACTCATCAGAGAGCACAGCACGGTATGTACGGTACAGTACAGTACCGATACTGTACGGCGAGAACGAGAATGAGAGAAGAGAGAAAAATTGTCACCTGATAGATGCGAAGTGCGTTGTTCACCTTCCTCCTAGCTCTCAGTCTAGCGAATGAGATTGAAGAATAATCAAAGTAGATTATCGCTGCCATCGACGTACTGTATTCAGGAATTTATTCGCACAAGTACGGCACTATACCTGCGAGGTGTTTTTTCTCTCGACCTCCCATTTCTCCTTCATCCAAGTTCTGCCCCTCCCCCCCCACCTCTGAGGATGAGACCTACCTACCTAGGTTGTGGTCTGAGGATTTAGATGGGGTGCGTTATCAGATCTCGTTAACCAGTAATTTCAGATGCCCTGCATGCGATGCTGAGTGGGAAAATCCGTATTCGGGTATTCGAAACCGAAACGTTTGTTTTTCGCAACGCTTATTGGGAGGGCTTTTTTATTTTATATTTTTCCGGTCTGCCGATTTGTTGCTTGGGCTTTTCTTTTGCAGCGTGCCGCGCCCGTACTTTGACGCATATTTTCTTCCTTGGATGTTGCTGATGTTGAAGTTGGCTGGTTATTGAAATTGATGGTGGGGCGAAATGGGGAGGAAAGGGCTTTTTTTTTTTTTTTTTTTTTGATACCCTGTGTGGTAGTTGCGTTGGGTCAGCGCTAGAACCGTTGGCTATATACTCGAGTACCAGTACATAGTACAGTAGTAAATACCTGGCGTGCATATTTAGTGGCTTTTGGCAATTGCCTGTCTGCTTGCCCCTCAATAGAGCTCTTTCGTAGTCTATTGCCGATGGCCGGAATATCTCTGCTTTGATGGTCAGTAAAGGTGCTATTCGAGTGGTTATTCACCAGTACGTATCATACTATAACTAGATAGTAGTCTATGAAAGACCTGCGAAGGTATTTTGCGATACTTGTATCAGGGTCTGTGTACTTACTATATCTGAGTAAAAGTAATTTTTTGCCTGGCGGGAGCACACGAGGTTTGTGTTTCGTATGTATCGTTCATTACGCATTGGCTTCTTTTCTGATTGACTGAGCGAAATGGTTCTGCGTTGCGCCACCCGCGCTGCCGTGGATAAAGTAGTGTTTTGATAAACTCACCTCGTGTCGAATAGAATATCTTCCAGTCCATTCAGGATTCTTTTTTTCGAGGAAAATATGTTTTGTATGCATTGCAGGTTGTGCTGTTCAATCCTCACTCGGACAGTAGATATGCAGGACAAAGTAGCTCATTCTGCAGCTAGAGTAAATTGACCCGGACGTCCAATGTCGTCTCTTCAATGCTTTCTCCTAAGCATTTTCAATTCAACCCCACCAAATCTCTTGGTTGGAGGGTTCGTATGTATTACGAAGTGGATTGAAGCTCAAAAGATCTTTGGATGAGTGTCCAGTACGGCGCAACGAATACCCGGATTTCAACCATGAAAGCGGCAACCCGCTATTACTGCCACTTGCCCTTTCTTTGCATCTACTTGTATGTTCAACTGGCCGGATCAGGTTAAAGGCCTTAAGGGATGGCCTTATTTTGCTGTACCGGTATGGTTTCAATTCTGATGAGGGAGATCAAATACTTGGCAGGAATCGTAGCACAATAATAATGGGTTAGCAAATGCTGTCTGTAGCCGAGAAGGAGAGCGGACAGCTATCGTACTAGAGTATAATATTAGCATAGTAACGGGCTGATAAGTTGATGTGTGATATGCATGTATCTTTCTTTCTTTTTTTAATTTTGTTCCGTGGTATCGCTAGCAGAAGCGGCCCTAAAGCCTCGCGTCTTTACTCGTAGACGTATCGTCTAAAGGGTTTGAGGGGGGCGATGTTTCGATTTAATCTTATTTTACTGGCTTAGCGGCTGTTCCGATCCCACGCTTCCGGATGAATTGGAACACAGCTTTACCTATCGTTGAACAGCCGGGGAGCCAATGTTTCTTTGCTTTCTACAACCCTAAAGAAAATTATCCGGGCAAGCGGCCGATGAACCCGAAGAGATAAACATCTTCCTTTTGTTTGCTGTCAATGGAGTTGATTTGCTGGCACGCGGTTAGACGAAATGTCGGCGCAGAGAAAGAGTAATTGGATGGACCAGTTTGAGAGAAATGATGCTGGATAAGGGAGGGAGACAACCTTTTGATTCCTTCCCCACGATAGCCCTCTCTCTTCAGTGGGCCGTTCAGCGGACTCCGAGTCGACGGGTAGGACAGTTTACCAGTACTGTAGTCCCTTTGTTTCCTTCAGGGTGGGAGAAAAAGAGCTAAGGTAAAGGTGGTGTTGAGGGGTTGATAACTTGCCATCAGCGGGGCGGAACGTGCGGAACATTGAATAGAAAGCAAACTACTTAAAAAGGAAGTGATCTGCCCCATAAGGAGGTCAACGGCAAGGCAAAAGAAAAGCGAAGGAGGCTGCTATTGAGGCTTTGGTTCTGTTTGATATTGCTCCCGCCATGGTATTGTATGGATCCATTTCTTCTCCCCGCATGAGAAGGGAGGGAGGGAGGGAGGGAGGGATTAAGCACGGTCAGCTAGCTGGCAGAAAGTATTGAGTTGTGGATTGGTCTGGGTACTCTAAATTTTGTGGCACTCGATAGTGCCGTACAATAACTGTACGAGTAGAGTAATGTACTCGAGTACGGCTGGCATATGCAATAGCAGCAGCAGGCAGGTAGACAGGCAGCAAGGTAGAGCGCAAGTTTTCTTTTTCTTTCTCTTTTTTCTTTTTTTCTTTTTTTCTTTTTGGAAAAAAGGTCAGCGTTGGCTACCGAAAAGCGAAACCCCGCCACCAGATCTGCATCAGGGAAGAAAGGAATTCCGTTTTGCACAACTTTGATTTGCTTGCGAAAAGTGGGCTAGGAAGGGGTATGTAGAGAAAATGGGTAATTGAGTGACAACTGGGGACAGCAGCCACAGATAGAACCTATCCGGATCAAGTGTGAGGAGAGAGAAAAAAAAGCGAGAGGACAGCGAACAAGGTGCAAGAAGTTGGGAGAGGATTCTCTGCACAGCTGTCAATATCGGTACTACTCGTTTCCCTGTCTGTCCCGTTTCCCCCCCACCTCCGCTCCTGTCCTGCGTGTTGACGGGGCCGAGCCTCTCAATTCTTCCTCTCGTCTTTCTTTCCTTCTCACTCCTCTCAACTCTTCCTCTCAACCCCCTTTAAAGTCCCCCATCCGCCGTTGAGAGGAATTATTCTTTCCAATAATCAAGACGCGCTTTCAAGATGGACGTCTATTGCACTGTGAGTTTTGCTTCTATCCACTCCCCAATCTCTTAGAGTCTGGTTGTCGTCATACCAAATTTTTTCTCGATATCAGCCCATTGATCTATATTGTGTTCCGTTGCATGTGGCTAACCAAACATTGTTTCCATCACAGCTATTGTTGAGTGACGGCTACCTCCCAGGTTAGTCCTTTTTTTCCTTCTACCTCGAAATAGGTAAAATCAATTTTTGTTTTACTCACAAATATCTCAGGCGCCCAGGTACTAGCCTACTCTCTCCGCGATGGGGGCACATCAAAGAAGCTCGCGGTTCTGGTGACCATAGAGACCTGTTCGGAGGAAACGATCGAGGAGTTGAAGGTTTGCTCAATGCTTTTCAATATGGAAGGGTAATTAATGTTCGTCTAAAAACTCACTATTTTTTGATTCCAGCGTCTCTATGACTACGTCATTCCTGTGGATCGTATCTGCAGCGAGGCTACCACCAATCTTGGGTTGATGAACCGTTTGGACCTCAACGCCACCTTCACTAAGATCAATTTGTGGAAGCAAACTCAATTCCGAAAGATTGTCTATATTGATGCCGACGTTGTCGCAATCCGTCATCCGGATGAGCTGTTTGATCTTGAGGCCGACTTCGCTGTGTGTCTCACGTTCCTGTGACGTTCCTGTGAGGAGGTTTCTATGCAAGATGCTAATTATACCTTTTCCTTCTATAGGCGGCTCCTGATATTGGTTGGCCCGATTGTTTCAACTCGGTAGGTTTATATCTTGTCGGGCTAGTATTAGTTTATGGGGTGGCTAATGTTCATTTAGGGAGTGATGTTGCTTCGTCCTCATATGGGAACTTACTACTCGCTCCTTCAGCTTGCTGGGCGTGGTGTTTCATTTGATGGTACGCCATTCCGGCATAGCCCCTCCTTATCGCTAACGCTAATGAAACAAATAGGTGCCGATCAGGGTCTCTTGAACTCTTATTTCAAAAACTGGCATCGCATCTCTTTCACATACAATTGCACACCTTCCGGCCATTATCAGTGAGCAACTGTCCACCCGGGGTTGGATGGCTTTTGTTAATTGTTGTCAGATACACCCCCGCTTTCACTCACTACGGAGCGAACATCTCTTTAGCGCATTTCATCGGGGCCGAGAAGCCATGGAATGTGGGGAGGTCCTCTATCAAGGACTCTGGTTCAACTAACTCAAGCGGCACGCCTTATCACCAACTGTTGGGTTATTGGTGGGCGACTTGGGATAAGCATTTTAGAGGCCAGCAGGAAGGCTCGAATGACTCCGCTAGTGGTGGCTCTAGCTATCGAGGGTCTGCCAGTGGGTCTGGATCTGGTTTTAGGCAAGCCTATTCGGGCCCAGTTGGAAACCAGGCTAGTCAATCGGGATCTCAACAGCACGGAGCCCGATCATCTGGCACTCAACACCAATCACGGGCATCTGAGAAGGCCCCTGCACGTGAAAACACTGACAAACTCGCCCCGGAACCCCAGAAGCTGCCATTCCACGGGGTATTCCCTGATGTTGTTGATACTCCCCAGGGACCCGTCGACCAAACCCAATTCTTTCAAACTGGCCCAGCCACTTATCAGGTTTCTGATGTTCCAGCTAGACGTTCTGCTCCTCCACCTTCCTCCCCCCCACGTCAACAGGAGCAACAGGCACCGCTGGTGACACCATTCTCTACACCATATTACAACTGGGATCCTACTCGGTAAGCTTTCTGTTTTTGGTTTGGTTTAAACGGTGTTCTAACTACTCCTTTAGCTCGGCTCCACCAGTCGATAGTGCTCCGGAAGCCAATCGTTTCCCCCGTCAGTTCTACTCCAATGAATGGGATAACCCTGCGCCGGCATTTAAGACTCCAGTGCCTGCCCCCCCACAGGGACAGAAGAGATGGTTTGAGAGCCGTGAGAAGACCCCGGAGCCTCAGCGGGAGCCTCCGCTAAGACAAATTTTCCCATGGGAGAATAAACCAAGGACCACTACTCGCGTATTCGCTGATGACCCGCCGGTCGAGGAACATGTTGAGGAGCCGGAAGAGGAAGAGGAGGAGGAGGAGGAGGAGGAGGAGGAGGTCCAACAGGAGCAGGAACCCCAAATTACTAAGGAGGAGGCCACGGCTTGGAGAACATATGTCCAGGAGAATGAGTGGGATGCGATTCCAGGAATCCAAGACTACGTCTCGGATTTAAAGCGCCGTGGCAATCACGTACTCCAGTCTCTCGAAGCCAGTCCCCGCATTCCGGGATACTTCATCCCCCTTGTTAGTCAGGAGAGGCCATCTTTGCCCGTGACCCCGAATCCCGTCAAAAGAAGAACTGCACAATGGACTGCTGAGGAACAACCCCAATTCCCAAGTGCTCGTGGGATCCCCTCTCAGGAGGACTGGGTACGAATTGAACTTGACTTCCATTATAGATCTCGAAATATCTGCTGACACTCTTCCAATAGGACCCTCATGCAAAGCTCGATGAACTTAGACGCCTCCCACCCTCTTTCGTCTCAACCCTCAGTAACACCAATGTGATCGGTGGTGCTGCCCAGACCGAAGCCCAGAAGGAAGCCATTGTTCCCGAGGCACCGTTGGAGGTTCAAGCACAAGCGGACGTTACTGTCTCACCTCCTTCCCCAGCCTACAGAACCAGCGCAGCCCAAACCGAGAGCCCGAAGCTTGAGGATAGGGCAATACAGGTTGACGACATCCCTGAGGTTGAGGACAAGAAGTCGTTGTCTGGCTCATCCAGTGCCAGTCTGAAGACTGATAGTGACATTTCGCTCGGAAAGCGTTCCATCGAGTCTCAATCACCTCCCAAGTCTCCCGAGTCCAAGGTAAGCCTTACTACTCCCGGAGGGATGCAGATGGATATGACATGTACTAACTCAATCGCTTTCTTAACACTAGGAGAAGGAGAAGCGCCGCTCGATGAATCTTCAAAAGCTACTACCCAAGTACTGGGGCAGCAAGACTATCGAATCGCGTCGACAGGCAGCCTTGAGATGATTTCAGCACTTGCTCTGAGGTTGAGCCGAAGGCATAGATTGGATCTACGATGGGTATAATGTTTTTTCTTATTTCAGTTACGCCTTGCTCTTTCAGTTCTGCATACTCTTGGGTTCTAGTCCTTTCTTTAGCTGGAAATTTTTCTGAAGTTGGTGGTTACTCTGCATGCTCTTGAAATTACGGGTGTTCACATAGAGCGGTTTCGATATGTCGACTAACTTACATGGGCAGCGTTGTGGATTTTATATCTCTTTCATGGCGAGTCCTTGCGTTATTTCTCCTTTTTTTAACGTCATGTCTTTACCGCCCCTTCGCTATGTCGCTTTCAGATACTTTCTTACGATTTTCCTTAGGAAATGTGAATAAAGTCACAAAAAAAGTCTTTACATTTTGTAACTTAAAAATCATGTATTGCTTTTTTTGTTGGTGATAATGAAAAGGTTCACGAATGTTTTCAAAATTATTGTTCCCTGTCGTTCTCGTGATTTCGAAACCCCCCAATTGAAATGACGCTATTTAATAATAGTTACCGATGCAGGGAAAGGCTGGAGTGTCGGTTGCATGCTTGTATTTCGGGTGTTTTGATTGTTATCTCTTATCTTCGCATGATGTGACCTGCATATCTCCGGTTGTATTGCCGTTCTCTTATCATAGCTAAGTTAACCGAGCTGCCCGTGCACTGCAGCCAGATAAGCTACTCACAGATCATCACTCGATGTTTGTTATTGCTTGGGATTGTTGAGCATTATGATGAGATAATATTATTAGAATTTTATATTCTTGAGATCTTTGGGGTTTGTTGCGGTGGGCAATTGGAGTCAGTAGTTCTAGAACGTGTGGTGCTATCTCGTGTATCATATCTTGGGATCGTTGCCATGTTGGGTGATGTCGTATTTAAGGCTAGTAATAAAGATTGATCTTTTATTTCTCGGCTGTTCTAATATATATTTATATTTAGGTAACTTATAACTGGACTAGGGCCTCTTGAGCATTGTAGGGTTTTATTGTTTATTGATCACAGTGTTCTATACTTAGATGGATACGGATGATTGTGTAGTAATTATTTCTCTTGCACGAGGCCAGGGTTTCCTTGGAGTGGCGGACGGGAGCACACAGTATGGCTTCTCCGGTGTTTACCAGGGACATAAATTATTTATTGGTCTCACCCTTATTAGTTGGCACAGTATCATACTTGTACAGCAGGCACTATTTGATTCTAACCTTGTCAGGGAGCATAGCGCCGTCATCGAACACTGCGGAGGGAAAAAAGTCGAGATAGATATGATATTACCTGAAATCGCATATTTAATCACGGACTAATAAAACCTCCCTACCGGTCATAGAACCAAACCCAACTCTCACCGGCCTATATATTATGACCTGTTCCGTGCACGTGTGCCCATGGGTTTACTCACAAACTGCACCGATCCAATGCAAGCTATGGCGCGCATACGGATACATATTACTTTGGAAAATTGCCTATTATTCTCTATTTTTTCTCTTCCTCTCGCAATGGCGGGGGGAAAGCCACCTTACCAGCACTTGCTTGTTTCTTAGTTTTCCGCCTGAAATTCCCTCGAAGGAGGTGAAGGAAAGGAGAGATTGATTTTGTAGAACATGTTGATCCTGTCATTTTTCATGGTGGGGGATCGTAGGGGAGGCAGTGAGTGTTCTGTTTGCGGAGCTGCAAGCTCTATCGCCCACGCCCGGGAGTGCGGGTGATAGACTTTAGGAGATTCTAGTGGGAGAGCGACCTACCGGTACACCACCTGAGGAGCGGGGATCTGCGAGTCGGCAACAACTGACACCGCCCAAAACTCAAGATAGAATTGGCAAATATTTCCCGACAACACCCACTCCACCTGTACAGAATGGCGAATCGAGTGGGGATGGGAGGAGGGGACTCCGACTAGCACTGCTCTGAAGACTGTTGAGGTGATTGGCGGGAAGGATAGTCTAGGAAGATGATCGTCTTGGGAATGGTCCTGATATGGTGGATCTTTCGAACCAACCCCAAGCCATCTCCTCACTAGCCACCCCGGTCACAACCCGTAGCTACGGGGCTGACAGTCATCAAGTAACTACATAGGTTCTGTTTGTATACAACGGTTTCGTTCCGTTTCGAAACCGTTTCTGCTGTAAATATTGTTGTCAAACGGAGGGAAATGGTCACTTTGGTGCCAGATGAGTTTCGGCAGCCGGAGCCAGGGAAATGAAATTTGGGAAGTGGGAGGGCTTTGCATAATACGGTAGGCACTAGAAACATTAAGCCCCGGGGGTTGAGAAAGCAATCTTCGAGCGTCAAGTTTCAAGTTGATCTGCCAAGTTTGTTGTAGTATGCAAAACACCAAAGTCCCCCCAAACTCGAAAGACTTGCGTAATCGTTTCTTTTTTAGCACTCGGGGCTGAACACCTCTATTGTAGGCTTTGTGTGCTGGGATCGCGGCGCTTCTGGCCTTGCCGGGTGGCGGTAGTGGTGGCTGGATGAACTCAAGTCTCGACATTGGTCATCACTCGGGTTATCCGTCCTCATTAATCGGGGAGGTCATTCACGAACTGGCTGTTTTGAGGGGCAGACTACCGAGTATTATAGAGGCTAATCATGAGAAACCGAAGTTCCATCAGGGGTCACACAAGTCCCAAGGCACAACCGAGAAATGTCTATAGCAAATGAAATAGTTTCAGTCGCAAGATCTGCGGATTCATATTTCCACTGCTAGATCATTGTATGATATTATCGTCACGTTGAAACTGTTGGTGTTCCTTACAACTCTAACGCCCAGAAGTCGGGACACCAACAGCTGGCCCATATTGCCCGATAAAGTGGAAAAAGGTTATATATGTTCACTTTGGAAGGTTGCTTCTTGGGTATTGTGGATGTTGGATAAAACTTTGGTGGATTGGGAAAAAGGATGGGGTAGAACCTCGCGAGGCATTGCGCATTGAGACGATATAGTATCCATAAGTTGGAGTATCATACTCTGATTCCTACGGTACGCATTCAAATGTACCTCTCACCAACTCAACTATGCCTCGCACCGGGGAAGACATGATTTGGCAGGATCTGGAAAATAACCAATACTAACTTTTGGATCCCACCGGTGTGGTCTCTATAGCGCAGTGATGCTGGATCCTAGAAGTTAAAAGCCTAGTTGCAGGTCTCAGCCTCCCCCAGTGGGGTAGCATCCGACCACACATCAAGCAGGCGGGGTTGCGAGGGAGAGATTACACGACCGGGCAGAGGGGAGTATGTGCTTGGGGTAGTATAATAATGAGGGAGAGTGGGTCAAAAACCGTAGATCATAGTAAAGAGGAGAAAATGCCAAACACACGAATTGGGGGGTGGGGGAGATAAAACATAACAGTAAAATCAGAATCCTTTACCCCCTCCACCTCTAGGCACTTTTGAGGTGGGCACTCTTTTTGTTCCGTAAAGAGATTTTGACAAAATTTAGACTTTGGTCACTACAAGTCTGGTACTGAACCAATTTCCTAAATGTGGTTTGGGAGGACTGACTACCCCTTTTCGCAGAACTAGATTCATATGCTAATTTTTTCCCCTCCCCTTCATCCCTTGGGGTCGCCAACTGATTTTGGGTCACTTTTTTGCCTCGATTTCTGAATCACTAATGATGGATACCGCATTGACAGCTCAAATTCGACCCCCCGCTACCAAAAACTGCTCCGTAAAAGATTTAGTTATGATAGGCAAAGAAAAGAATGGTAACAAAGTGCAAAGTCGGAAATGGCACCGGAACTGGTATTACCATACCAGTATATAGGAGAATCTAGGCTTATTGGCGGCGAGTTCATATTGGCGGCGGGTCGAATTCGAACAGTCAATGCGGTATGCCAATGATCAAGCTAGACCTCTGGAATGAACGCAACACGTATCCTACCGGACAGGATCTCCCACTGGGCCGGCTTGCACCGGGCTCTCGGGTCGTTTAAAGCGCCTCGAAGCAGTGTTCGGTCGGAGTCTATTGGAGGCGACTGTGGTAGGTCATGTGTCTCGCCTTACCGCCTGGGTGTCAATCTTCAAGCGAGCAGGTGGGAGACTGGAGCGTGTGGGTGATTGTACTGTGGAAGCCCGGATGTTAAGGGAGGCTGCCGTGGTTGGAGTGGTAGGACGCATATAAATTGTGATAAAGGTTCGGTGGGGGATCTCTAACTCACAGTAGACCTATGATATTTAAGTCGACCCTGTGCATCTGAACCCGTGAAGCATTATTCCAGAAAGGCGGAGATTTCCGATACAACACTATTCCCATAAGCTTCTTTGTTGAAGTCCGTGTTTTATGGACTACGGTGACCCTCCAGCGTACCTGATCAGTTCAATGATGGATTAGGTAGTCTTATTTGACGCTCCAGCGCGGGTTCGATCACCTGCTGCCTCTAGCTGTGCTCGAATAACGCGATGCTTGGTTTTCCGGTAAGTTATCTTCACCTTATCTCGTCACCAATTCTAAGCATCAATCCCGCTTTCAGTGTTCATATGATTGGTTTACTATACTTGTTGCCTACATGCCTTCTTACCATAGCCCGACCGAAGCGGTGATATGCCCCGAGGAACCGATATTAGAGGAACACCCAACCCTAATTGGTAGTATATCGCCATCGATATCCGAAACTTCTAATCACGTTACTCGAAGATTGGATTTAGGGAAAGTGTTGACTTTGGAGACATCACCACGACAAACAAACGGGGTCGTCCCTCGCCCAGCTACGACTTTCCTAGAAGTTTCTTTTGCTCATGGTGGGTAAGCGGTTTATTCTATCATATAATGTGGCAAGCTGCCTCTCAGACCCCTATGGCCGGAATCTGATGCTTGTCCCCGAATAAGCTATCATTCTCTACCGTATCTTATGATACCCATTAAAGAGTAGTAGACCTGGCCATCTGCACAACCCGCACCGCTAAGTTAGCCTCGTCTTCTAACTGATATCACACTTGGTACAGCCACTCAGTAGAAGTCTTCGCGGGAGGGAATTTCTCTGCTCATTGAGCAGGTCCTGCTACCAGACCCCAGTTGCGCGGCGCCCCCCCCAGGCCACCGTGATGGAAACTCCACTTCACGAAGCCTTTTTCCGGGTACCGGCACTGTACCTCAGATCTATAGTGCGGGGCGAGCTACCATTACGAAGGAGACATGAAAGGACCCTATTGTATTCACTACGAGGAGCGTATTGGGGTTTCGGGTGTTTGCGTACAGTACGATACAGAGTTTGGCTGCGTGTGAATACCGGTGATTTGGGACTGCACTCCGCTCCCGTGAGTCCCCTAGAGCAAACAACAAACCAATAACCAGAGCCACAAATCAATAATAAAGAAAAGAAGCCAATGCAGTCGCTGTTTTTATCCCACAAAGTAAACCATGAATTTCAAAGCAAAACACCTCTCCATCTGTGACCTCGGTGTACGGTGCGCCATCCTGATAGCCCAAACTAAAGAGAGCTTTCAAAATCAAGCTATACACCCTATCAAGGATAGGGATTGTGTCTCTTACTTTTAAGAAGGCTTACTGGCCCCCTCAAGCCTTCTTAACGGAACTGTAATCCTTACTTTCACCACCAGACCGTATGTGTTGCACAGGTATGTGGGGGCACTCCCTCATTGGCTTTATGTTTTCACCTAGCGCATTCATGAGTTGACGTCCGTCTATTCGCTTCAGATCATTGAAGAGTTTGGAATCTTTAAGGACGGAGTGGAGGCACTCCATCAACTTTTCGTTTTCACCCAGCACACTCGCGACATGATGTCCGTTTATTGGAATCATTGACTTCGTGTCCTTCGCGTCATCGGAGACCGACTTGGGTTTCTCTTCAATGTGGCAAGTGCCCGATTCAATGCAACTGTCTGGTCCAAGTTTCTCTCCAACGCGGCGGATCTCTTGTATCAATTCCTTGGTCCCGCGCTTTCTCTCCCGGACCATTGTAGCGGACGTAATACCAGCAACCAAAAGACTGGGACCGTAAGTGTGAGCAAACTCTGTTATAGGAAAGGGATTGTTAATAAGCATTCGTCTCTATAAATGCAAAATAAAATATGTGTCAACGAACTGGTGAAGGAACTCATGGCTGAGCTAGCTGGGCTTGGCTTCTCGAGAATTTAGTAAGTCTGCATTCAATACTCCAACCAGTGTAATAATGTAACATTAAGAAGACTCACCGTGTCGTCCTGGTAGATGCTCACTTGCTGTGTCCCTCCATTCCGAAATGGCGTGGTTGGCTAGGGCTGAAGGAAGAACTTCGCCCCTCCTGACTGGGTGTCAGGAATATATTTATCCGTATGCCGGGTCGGCGGTGCCAGAATATAAATATTGAACTTATCGCGGACATAACCTGGGGGGCGGGGGAGAGACGGAAGCGGTCGGTCTCATCTCGCAAAAAAATAACTAGAGAAGCGCTCGTGCCTAAGGGTTTTTGGATATGATGGAAAGTCTACGAGTAGACTATTATATAACTGCCAAGGTTCCTGCCAAGTGTGTAACTGCCTGCAAATCTTGCGCTCAAGTAGACATCATACAACATATTATGATATCATACTTGAGGTCATGACGCAGGTTACCGGCAGTGAAGAGGGCGCATTCTCTCGGCTGCGCAGGGTGAATCTAGAACCTACACACGGAACCACGCAGCACCTGGGGATTTATTTGTCTTTCAGGTTGGCACCTTTGCTCTGTGCAAAAGCAATTGCCACCCTTGATTCTTGTGTTTGCCAGACTTTCATACAGTACATAAGCTTGTGGGATCCTCCACCCCTCTTGGAGCTGAACCTGGTTACCGAATGAGTGGCATGGTGGAGACACAATCATGATATCAGACGAGACGTGGCCGAGCGCCAAATTGTCGCTACGAGACGTTACGGATACAGCACAATATCATACTGCAGCTGCAGGCTTACAGTATGTTCTCTTCTCATCCGTCCAATTGGGGTCCTCGAGCTTAATAGAAACACGGAAATCGTCACAGAAATTCGATTGCCAATTTTAGTAAGAAACACAGAACAACAAAACAGTCAACAAGTTAGCCAGTCCTTTTTTGCTTGAAATTACCTGCAACCCCTTCACCCTAGCCCCTTTTCTAGGCGTTACAAAAAAAAAATCAAGAAAAATCACAGCAGTATTACAAGTTTGTTCCCATCTTTCCTCCAACAATAGTCTCCCCTTAATCCTGTCCCTTCATTCTGTCTCAAAGTGGCCGTGCTGAATGGTCTTAACGGTAGTGTGAAGGGGGAGGAGGTGGGGGAGGCTCGTTGGAGGATGGTGGGGGCGGAGGCGGCGGGGGTGGCGGGGCTAAGGAAGATGGTGGTGGTGGAGGCGGGTTTCCGGGAGGTGGTGGAGGTGGTGGAATACCGAACGAAGGTGGGGGCGGTGGAGGGGCGCCATAGCCTCCGGGCTAATAAAACGTGAGCATTTGCATGGCATAGATATGGGGGATAACTTACAGGAGCACCATAGGGAGAAGCACCATAACTCATACCTGGAGCAGCCCCGGGGGCACCAGAAGCCCATGGAGGGGGGGCAGCGCTCGCAGGAGGTGGGGGTGGCGGGATACCGTGCGTTCCAGCCCATGGAGGAGGAGCAGAGGATGCTGGTCCAGTGGGCGGTCCATGGGATTGAGATTGCCAAGGTGCGCCACTTGGTCCTGTTGGGGCATTTGTGGGAGGGGTATGGCTGTCTCCAGGAGCTCCACCACGTCCGCGCCCACCCATCTGCCACGGGGCGGGTCCTCCAGTGGGTCCGCGCTGCCACGGCTTCAGGGCACGACCATCGGGGCCAAGTTCCTGGTCATTTTGATTGTCGCGACCGTATGCCCCTCCTCCATAACTCTCACGACCGCCATAACCACCGTCCGGACCACCTGGGCCAGCTTCGATACGGCCTTGCGGAGTAGCACCGCCAATCGCAGGTGCAGAGCCTCCAGAAAGCTCTTGCATAAGTTGCTGGGAATAATTTGTTAGTACAACTAGCTTGACAGATCTTGCGAATAATCACCCACCTCATATTCTCTGTCCACAGCATCACCTTGCCCTAGACCAGCAGCCCCAGGTCTACCAAAGCCACCAGCAGCACCACCACGGCCACCTCTGTCATTGTTGCGCCAGTCCTGGCCTCTCTGGCGATCGGGACAGTCCCTGGCCATATGCCCTGCGTTGCCGCAAACCCTGCAGATAATATTGGCGGTAAAGTTGCGTTGCTCAGGGCAATCGTATTTGCGATGGCCAATTTGACCGCCTATCAAAAGTTTTAGACCACCAAGCTGTGAATATTAGAAAAGGTACCAACTCACAGTTTTGACAGGCTTGATTTTCATCATCACGAAGAGTACCGTTGAGAGCAGCGAGCTCACGAAGCTGATTACGCTTAAGCTCATTTTGACCCTCGGGAATCGACGCAGCCTGATGTGAATAATGTTAAGGGTTTATCGCGTAGAAATATAGCAAATGGGAAATCAAGGGATAACATACAGTTTCAATGATGGTATTGATAAGCTTCTTGGCTTTGTTAACCTTCTCTTCAGTGTCTGCCATGATAAGGCAGTGGAGGTCTTCTTCTTGGTTAGAGGTGTGGGCAGCATCGGAACGACCCTTTCCTTCCTTTACAGATCCTTTCCCACGAATGGCGATCTTGGCACCAGATTCAGTCTCCATTTTTTTGAGGGTGTTGCCACGAGGTCCAATCAAGAGTCCAACTATTAGTAACAGAAGAAATTCCTAGAGGTTAGCGAGATGATTCCCTGTCAAGTTATGCGTGTGTAAGGACTGTTAAAGTATATTTTTCATATGGAGCAGGAAATGAAGCTGGCGATGACTTTGTGGTTAAAAGGTCACCAAGCTCATTCGAGGAATGGTTATGGGATAGCAGAAATGTTAGGAGGGGAGTTAGTATACTAAAGTTAATCTCTGGATAATCGTTCACTGGTACATAGATTTTCTCCTGTGTCTTTGTGGGTCTCCTATAATCACTCGGAGGGTGATAGTTGGGGATGGCTTTCATTGCCTTATCGATTAGTTTATGACGTTCATCTTCAAGGCGCTTGCGATAACGGTATTCCCGAGTATTGACACGACGACCAAAGTTGTCATATTGCGGAGGTGGGGATGGCGAACTATTACCCAGTTAGAACCGTCAAAGAGGGACAGGGCAATAGGAATAACTTACCGGTCACCATCAGCCGGAACAACATCGTTAATCCTGAGCTTCTGGGAGATCTCCTCAATACGTAGATGAAGGGCGTAGGCCTCCAACTGCTCACTTGTCATTGTAGCAAAAATAGCGGTCGGAAGACCCATTAAACCGGCTGCTTTATTGTCCGTCTGATCGCCCCAGCGATTCTTCTTCTTTCTCTTTTTTGGTCCATCCGGATCGGCTGCGCACGGTTACGGGATTTAGAGCCGCGTTCACAAAGAAACCTGCGGGGATCGGGGGATAAAAGGTAAAAACTTACAACGAATAGGCGACCTTCCACGCTTATGGTCGGCGAAGCCACTTCCTCCTTGTTCGTCCCGAAAAGATGGGCCTCCAGATGCTGGCGATGGGGAGTCATTGCTTCCAGTGCTTCCGTCGCCGCCAAATCTTCTGCGGTTTCCAAGAGGAATATTATTTGTTCCGGTAATTCCTCCACCACTCCCACGATAAGACATGATGAAAAGCCTGCTTGTTAGATCACGCACTGTAGTTGAGGTTTGGTATTGTAGATGAAGGGCGGAGGGTGGAAAGTGTGTACGAGGGATGGACAACAGGTTGTGTTGAGGAGAAAGGGTCAAACGTGGTAGAGGCGAGGCTTACATAACCAAACGTTATGAAACACAGAAAACTCAAAGCAGCCCGAACTAGGTTAGACTCTCAAGCCACTTCTGGAGTAGCGCCACACTGTCCGATACCGTACTCGTACAGTATTGTTTTTTATGGTGTCAGAAACGATGGGGGAAGCGTGTAACCCTCCTGTCAGCAGAGTGGCTTGCGTGTAAATATTTAATTTATTGTGGCTCTAAGCGTCAAAATAGTTTGTTGCCCACCTTCTGCCAATTAAAAAACCGAGGCGAGGGATTACACAGTGCTCAAGAAGGCTGCGGTCCTGCGCTTTGATTTTGTTTGGAATAGAGACCAGCACTTGGATAGTATGATATACCGGTATCATAGAAGGCCCACACCTTTTGCTGATGCCGAACCATGACGATAGATAAAAATCACTTTCAGACTGGCCATTCAATAAGATCAGTTGTCGCTAGAATTGTCTTTTAAACTTGAGATCCTTTTTCTTTATCGGGGTCTCAGTCTGAGATTATTCTACGCTCAAATGTTCCGAATATGGGCATTCTGAAAAGTACAGACAGGTTGTTCTGGGATTGGACACTGTTGGATGCCCTGGACGAAGTGGTGGGGGTACGTGGTGTTATTTGAGGTGCGGGCGGCCGAACTTGACGAAGCCGCCTTTCCTGACCGGTAGGCATCGCGAAAAATTGTTAAGAGGTTGCCTATTAAAGGGCTCTTCTCTATAATTCCTCCACTCAAAACTTAGGGCGAGCCTCGGATTGATTTGCACATCACTGGATACATTCCCGGCACATAAAACCATATTATACTGTAAATACTAACACTACTGCAGGCCAATTGATGTCTCTGTATTTCCTTAGTTAAGGGGAAAGGATAGCTAGTATAAGGTATATCATCAAAAGGATAATTATAATTCAAGTTGTTAATATCATTACTGTGTATCATAATACTTGTTAGTATTGTCCCGGGACAAAATTAACTAGCTGTCAACGGCCGGAAAATCTTCGGTGATGACAACCACACTCCCCCACCAACCCACTATCATGAAAACCCAAAAGAAAATTAAAAAATATAAATACATAGTAGAAATTAATATTTAGTATACCATCCATCAGCCTTAATAATTGCTTCCACCCTATCCACCATTGATCCTGCCAAAGTATCAAAAACCTTTGGGTCCAGAAGTTCCCAACAATGAGTGATAGCCTCCTCTATAATTTTTTTGATCTCATTGACAGGGCCCTTCAGGAGAAACAGGTCAGGATAGTGCTTATAAAGCTTGTCTTTCACCAGAGACCAAACATTTTCAATTGGATTGAGGTCTGGTGAATAGGGAGGAATTTCCATCAGAGAAATTCCATTTCTCCTGAGCCATCTCCTGAAAGGCAAGTGAGTCTTAGCATTGTCAATGATCAAAAATACCTCTTCCTCCCCAACATGCTCCTTGATATCCTCCCATATCCCTGGAAAGCCATATTGATCATAAACATCAATAATTGACTTTCTAGTCACTCCACCTCCAGCAGAAGTAGGATCAGGAAAAACAGGTAAAAAAAGACCATGAGTTTGACCATAGAAACAACCAGTCATCATCTGACTAATCTTTCTCTCTCCTTTCCTAGCAGTAGGTTCAACACAATTCTTATTTCACTTTTCTTTTGGGTATCTAAATACCTATTTTCTTCTCTTTCCTCCTCCTCTCTCCACAGCTACCTCATCCCCCCACATTGCCTTTCTTCTCCACATCTGCCTTGTCCAATTCCTATGGGCTAATGCTCATTCCAACCTCTTTTGAGCTAGATCCTCATCCAAATGAATCCTCTCTTGTGCCATCCACTTTTTAAGATGCTTTTGTGCAAGTCTTCTCTTCACAGTATTAGCAGAAACATTGGGAACCACTCTCTCAGCAATCTCAGAGTAGCTGGTATGGCGATTTTTGAGAGCTTCCTCTACCATAGCATCATCCTGCAACTTGGTAGTTTTAGGATGTCTTCCTCTACCTTCATTCTCCTTACCCTCTTGATCTCTCTTTGCAAATGTGCTTTTAACAGTACTGAGAGGAATGTCAAAGTAGTGGGAAATTTGGTAATTTGTGTAACCAGTATGGGTACTCGGTTATTGGTTTTGTTTTATGTTTTGTTTTAAGTATCGCTTTGATACTTGGTTTGTTTTAAGTATCGTTTGATACTTGGTTTTGTTTTATGTTTTGTTTTAAGTATCGCTTTGATACTTGGTTTGTTTTAAGTATCGTTTGATACTTGGTTTTGTTTTATGTTTTGTTTTAAGTATCGCTTTGATACTTGGTTTGTTTTAAGTATCGTTTGATACTTGGTTTTGTTTTATGTTTTGTTTTAAGTATCGCTTTGATACTTAATTAGTTTCACCAAAGTGTATCGATTGATACCTTTGATTAGTTTTGTTCATGCTAGACATGAACAGATTTGTGTATTTAAAGACCGCCTGTTTCTACGATAGAAAAGGCAGACTTCGACAGACAGTATTTCAATATACTTGGTTGAACGGTTACTTCTTTGTTCCTCAGTACACCATCGAAGCCTCCTTTGGTTCTCAGCTCTCACCTCCTCTCCGGAAAAGCAGGCCACCTGCCAACTATTGTATTCATTACTGATAACGTGATTAGCACCTAGCAAACACGTTACATTTTTTTAACCTCAACAAGTGGTTAAGAACCTGTCCCCGGATTTAGGCCGGATCAACCTATCGATATCCACCTCAGAACACTAGCAGAGAGAAGCGGCAGAATCACGGCATATTCGGCTTCGTCTCAAATCCAACATAGAGTCTTTGACGATGTCACGAACGAGGCTTAGCGAGGAAAGGGTTTTTCACGTGACACATGGTTATGAGTCACAGGTATGTTATTGTTTCACGCATAAGACATATTCGGGTTATATGATTAGTTATGTGTAGGATTTGTGATGCTTTCGCACATGGCTCAAGTATGAGTCATGGGACATGCGCCTGACGTGTAACGTATTCGCAAGGTGCTAATCACGTTATCGGTAATGGATACGATAGTTGGCAGGTGGCCTGCTCTTCCAGAGAGGAGGCGAGAGCTGAGAACTAAAGGAGGCTTCGAGGGCGTACTGAGGAACAAAGAAGTAACCGTTCAACCAATTGTATTGAAATACTGTCTGTCGAAGTCTGCCTTTTCTATCGTAGAAACAGGCGGTCTTTAAATACACAATTCTGTTCATGTCTAGCATGAACGAAACTAATCAAGGGTATCAATTGATACTCTTTGGTAAAACTCTTTAAGTATCAAAGCGATACTTAAAACAAAACATAAAACAAAACCAAGTATCAAACGATACTTAAAACAAACCAAGTATCAAAGCGATACTTAAAACAAAACATAAAACAAAACCAAGTATCAAACGATACTTAAAACAAACCAAGTATCAAAGCGATACTTAAAACAAAACATAAAACAAAACCAAGTATCAAACGATACTTAAAACAAAACATAAAACAAAACCAATAACCAAGTACCCGTACCGGTTACATTCCCCAAAACAAAACAACTGTTTAAACAAACAAAACCTAATAATCATCAAAGGCAGATTCCGAGAAACTCATGGCTTCAGTTTCCGCCAAAAACTCTTCATCATAGGTATCACACCAAGGACAAGAGGAAACTCTAAGGAAACACTTAGACTCGAAGAAATCTAAATCACAGTAGTCACGAATACCAGATTCGTGCTGTACGTCAATCCAAGCATGATCACAATCAGGACAGTAGTCAATCCAGAGGATTTCGAAGTAGTCTTCAAGTTGGATAGCATCACGGTTCAACAACAGTCCAACAACCTGTTGTCGCTGCCTCACATTGAGCTCCACATAGTTTGACATCGTTATGGTATTCGGATGGTGATTGGTGACTAGATAAAGTTGTCGAGAGCCTGCTCCATAGCTTGATTCTCCTCATCGCTACTTTCGAATTCTGACTCAAAGTGTGGTGCCCAAAATCCATCTCTAGTTTCGAGTTCTGCGTGCCATCGCTCAGTTTCTGGCATTGTAGGTGTCCAGCACATGGTGATATAATTGATTGTTGGGGGGAGGGATTCATTTGGCATGTTGTCTTTCCACCATCCGTTTACCATATCCATAGCGTGCTCAAGTCCTTCCAGTGGTTTCCAACTGTTTTCGCTCGTCGGATATCCTTTCCATTTGACTAGGAATTGATCATTTCCATGCCAAAGGCGATGGTCTCTGATTTCTTCAACTTCCCATTCATCCTTTTTCTCGATGATGATAGGTGCAGGCCGAGAGTGGGTTCTTCCAGGAAACTTTGAGTCGTCATTGGGATGGAATCGTTTGACAGCTGAGGCATGGAAGACTGCAGTATTGCGGCGGTACATGCGTCCATCCATCTGGACAGTGTAATTCTCTGTATGCTCGTCAAAGGATATGACTTTGAAGGGTCCTCGCCATCGGGGTTGTAGTTTCTTGCTGCGTCCGACATTGGTAATAAACATGTTACCGTGTACCATGAGCATGTCTCCTGGTGAGATGGGAACATGTTTGCGCCGTCGTTTCTGGGCAGTAGTTGTGCTTCGGAATCGGGCAGCCTTAACAGCTTGGAAGGCATCGTTCCGAATTGCTTGGTGGCGGTTTAGATGGTCATCGGAGGTAGGGACTGAGGAGTTCTTGAATAGAGTTGTAGGTAGGAGAGGGTATTGGCGGCCAAAGACTGCCTTATATGGTGACATTCCCAGGGTATCTGAAAATCCGGCATTGATATATGCGGCTAGTTCAAATAGGGCTGGTTCCCAGTTGGTTTGTCGTTCATTGATCATGTTCCTAATCCCGGTCTTGACCTCGCGGATTTTTCGTTCTACTTGGCCATTAGTCTCATGGTGTCCTGGGGCAGCCATAATGTGGTTTATTCCGAGAGAGGTTAGAGTTTGCTTCCAGAATCTGGCGGTAAAG